CCCTAGGCAGGTGAACATACAAAACGACCAAAGAAATGATCGCCCTCCTGTGGACATGCCCCTACTCCTGTAGGATCAAAGACCTGGACGTGAAGAGGCTAGACCCCTACTGCGGAGGAGGGTACGCAATAGAGAAAGGCTTAGAGTTAATGGTTTTTTGTAGGTGGTTTCTGATTTGATGCGCTAGTGTGGCAGTAACGATGGTGGTGCAGATGGTAGTTCGATGGTGTAGGTGGTGGTTGTGGTGTTTGGTTTGGATAGGGTTAGGGTTGTATAAACATGGTCTGTGACCAATAAATTGGGTTAATATGTAACTAATGACATAGATAATTTGTGATATTAATGTAATTACTATGATCTATGACATGTGAATCGATAACATGTCACATGTATTTGTGCACTTTTTACATGTCATGTAATGATTCACAAGTCGCGGAGCAAATAGAATTTGTCACATATCACTGATTTATGTTCATATATCAATATTAATTGGTCGCATGTCATACTGTATAGTTACAGATGTTTACATGTCACATGTTATAGTTTACAGGTCATAAGTCATATTGAATATGTCACATATGTTCACAAATCACATGTTATAGTTTATGGGTCCATTATAGTTCATATGTCACATGTTACCATTTATCACAAGTCATGTTGTATAGATCACAGATGTTCACACCAACGATGCTCAGTCGATGTTATTCAACGGCTGCTATGTTTTTCCCCTTCTCTCTACTATCTAAGTCGATGATACTCAGTCGTCGCTGAGTGAAGATCAGTTCGTCATTGAAGAAAATGATCAGTCATGAAGGCGAAATGAGGCCAGAAAAGGAAAGAGATGGATGGGGTATCTATCACTTTTGTCCTTGCGAGTCCCTTCTCGCAAACTTAATAACTGACTATTCCATAACAGCGGAATCACCATTGACTCTATTTATTATTTTTGTAAATTAGTGTATCAAAATGTCAATCTGAGATCTTATTTCAGTTCGATACGTCCACTACTTGGCCAAAAATATCTTACGCCCAACTATTGCAATCCACTCAAATAATTCGTAAAACCAATTTTTATAACCAATTTCCAATAACATTTTCAAACTTGGTATTATTACAAAAGTGACATTCTATAATACTCATTATTGTGCATACGGTTGTAGACTTTCAAAATCATCTCCTTTATAGAGTAATTTTCAAGTTAAAAGTAGCAAGTAGCACAACTTATGTACATAGTATTGAAATGTTTTATATCCAATATGTGGCAAATAATAAATACTATAAAAAACATTTTGTTGATTTTCCGTACAATTGAGACAGAATTTGGGCATAATGTCCTATCAAAACAACTTTGAAAGAAAGAAAAATGATGAATATCTCACTAATAAATGTAACAACCCCGCTACAGGTATCCGTTCCTTTACTCGGCGGATTACACAGTGAGGTGGCAATGAAATGAAATTCAAATTTTAAAAAACGTGTGAGGCTGGGTCACAACTTGAACCGGCCCAATTAGAAAAGCCTGTGAGGCTGGGTCACGACTTCAACCTTTCATTTTTCATTCCCTTCCTCATCAGTTTCCCCCAAATCAGAGAAAACCCTCGAGGCGATGCCGTGATTTCTCCTGCCCATCACTTCGCCGTCGTCACCGGAAAAAGAAGCCGGTCGAAATTTCTCGTTTTGTAAGTATCCATCGCTCTGCCCACCGACATTTGACTTTCGTTTTTCTCTGAATCGAAGACGACGATTGGAGGCGAAAACTTAACGTGAAGTACAACACTCCTCCATCTCGACCGGAGCTACTTGCTGGTGAAAATTTGTACTCTTAAACGTCATCCATCGCGCAGCAAACATTATGTAAGCCAATTTGGTATCCAATTTCTTTGAAGTTACTGTTGTTGAATAATACATAGGGCTGAAGATTTTACAGTGGTTTCTAGCTGTTGTACACATTATGTAATTGTCATTTCGTCTTGTGCAGTATGCCAGGGAAGAACTTCGGCGTTTGTCACAGTTGTCGTGAGAAGGGTCACTACTTTTCTGATTGCTCGAAAAAACAGAGATGCCCTTGGTGTAAAATCGGCTTTGTGAAGTGCTTTGAGGTCGAGAAGGAGACAGAAAACAAGGGAAAATTGTTCAATTGCTGCAGTGCGAAATGTAAATATTGGGAGTGGGTTGACAAGGGAGAATCAACCTGCGGATCAAGTAGCGTTATCATGAACGCGAATAATCATGCTGCAGTCCAACAAGATGAACACATCTCTCGGCTATTCCAAACTCGTTGTACGTTATCTGAAGAACAGGCCCTGGAGATTCAATTCACCGTGACAATACGCAAGGCCAATGAAAGCACGGAACTGGATAAAAAAGGGAAGAGACCGGCATGATCTGTAGTTATGTAGTATGTGTCTTGTTAGGTGCAGTGTGTTGTGTTATCTGGAGTTGGTGCAGTGTTTTGGTGCATTGCGTTGTGTCATGTGGAGTTGGCGAAGAGTTAGGTGTTTAGTTAGGTGACTGTGGAGTTGGTGTTTAGTTAGGTGACTGTAATATATGCTAAAGATGTTAGTATGGGGAATTAGGTGCAGTTGGTGTTCTTGTGAATCAGTTGTATATCAGTTAATGTGAATGAAAACATTTTGTTAATTCACTACTTGTGTTGATTTAAAAACTGGTGTTGCTGGTGTTAATTCACTGCTTGTGTCAATTCAGAAACTGTAAGATGTACAGGAAGGGAAAAAGTGGATAATGAATACAGGAAGGGAAAAAAAGCATAATGAATACAAGAAGGGAAACAAAACATCATTTCATTAACTGCAAGAGAGCTACAAAATGCATCCATTGTAACTTCATAACCTATTACACTTTTTTAACTAAGAGAGCAAAAATTATATTCAAGGAAGCTACAAAATGCTTCAATAGTAACTTCATAACCTATTACACTTCTGTAACAGAGCAAAAATTATATTCAAAAATTATATTCAAGGGAGCTACAAAATGCATCCATTGTATCGGCACAACCTATTTACAAGATGCTTGGGCCTCCTAAACGATGTTGCTGCTTCCATTGCTACAGAACATGTTTGCGTCACTTTGGTCGGGTTTGCTTAGATAACAGAATGGCATTTCGTTTCCTACTATGAAAATAATAAATTTGTTAAGGAAAACTAGAGTATGATTTGAAATAAGTTACGTGTGATTAATACATACCATGATCATGTGCGATGGGCGCAACCTCTCCCAGAGTACTTAGGCCTACCTTCTGTCCCCTTCCCTTGGCTAAAGTTCGATGTGGCTGCATAATCAACAGATAATAAGAACACATATGCACCGTAATAACAAAAAATAACTATTCTATTTGTACATCGTAATACCTTCGCTTTACGAGATACTACTTCCAAAGGGCTTTTCTTTCTGAGTTTCTTCGGTGCACCTTTTCTCTTTGAGCATTTTGGATCTTGTATACCTACACTACTGCTACGTTGTGACGCTCCACCCTCCAACGCTATCTGAAATACATGTTGGGACACGTCATTACTCCCACAACTCAAACTCGTCATCATTGATTGTTTTTTGCATTCTATCCACTCTAGTACGTGACGGGTGTCATCGTCGTTCCCGGTTGCCATGTCCGCAAGTGAACCAAATGATTGACACATTTTGTCATATCTCAACTGGGCAGGGGTACCACTCAAACCATCATAATTCACTGCGATTTTTGTGTGGGCTCTACTAATATCTCTTCTCCATCTCCGTAATATATAGGTATCTGGTAATGCAGTGACGTTATTACGAATAAGTACAGCGATCGCGTGCCTGCAAACTATACCGCGAAACTTGAACAAGTGGCAACTGCAAACTATTTCACATCTCTGTCTTTCAAATGTCACAAGAAACTTTTGTTTCTTAACCCGAGTCTCAAGTATGATGTCCTCCAATACCTCATATGTTATCCCCGAATAGCCCTCGGACGAAGACATGAGGTCGCAATAAACCTTTCCAACAAATTCCTCCTGAACTTCCCGAAATTTTGAAATTGTATAAACTCTTTGAAACTGCTTCTCCAACTCGTACTTCGTTGCAGATGGCAACATTTGCGAGTATGATTTAAAATCTGCTTGAAACTCATTTTCTACCTTTTTTCTCAATGCTATCTCGTACTGTTCAACAAATTGTTTCAAGGACGTCTTAGAGTGCACATAACCATCAAAAAAAGCATTCATACTCTCACTGCGCTGAGTTGTTGACATGCCCGCCCAGAAGCTGCTCTTTAAAAAGCAAGGTACCCAACGCCCTCTGTTCTCAAACAATCCCGACAACTACTCATTGCCATGCAAGGAATAGCGGTCTACCATCGCTCTCCAACCATCTTCGAATTCGTGAACAGTTTGAGAATCATAAACCAATACATGTATAGCCGAAAATATCTCAAGCTTCTCGACGTGGTATCCAAACTTCTCTGGCAACTTCTTCAATATATGCCATAAACACCATCTGTGTTTCGTGTTCGGGAACACAATCTGAATTGCGTTCTGCATGGCCCGGTCTTGATCAGTAATAATCCCAGTAGGANTGATATTGCTATTACACAATTAACAAATAAAAGAAAGAGTTATTTACGGGGGACGGAGGCTTGAAAGGGGACGTTTTTTAGCAAAAGTGCGTCTAAGTTCTCTTCATCTGAACCTTTGTAGGTCCCACCTAACCCCACCCTCTAGATTTCATCTTTCTCTCTCTAAAACAATTAAGATTCTCTCTCTATTCTTGTTTCTCAAATTCCATTTCACCTGCTTTAAGTTTCGCATTGCAAACAACGGAGCGGACAAGCCTCTTTCCTTTTTTATCCCTCTATACGAAACTTCTGTTTTGATATTTGTGTAATAACTGAGAGAGAAACAAGGAGAAAAGTTCATAGACTGCAAAGAACAAGAAGAATTGTTCTATATATTTAAATCCCAGTGAAATACTTGCACAAAGATTTCTTATTTGTCCATGGGTTTTTAGCTATGTACAAGGGGTACTGTCGAGTTCCTGAAATTCTTTTTCTTGGCTAATTTTTCATAGAAATTCTTTTTCTTGGTGGGTTATTTTGTGTTTTGGTGTGATTGAACAGTGGTTTAGATTTTCGCATTGGCCGGTGATATCAATGCAGTTTTGGATAAACGGATGATGATGTTGCGGAAAAATGTATATATTTGTGTATTTCTGTACATGAATACGTATGCATGTAATGCAAAGCAGCAAAGATAAGATCTGAAGATTGAATTTTCAGAATTTCATCAGGTAAACGCATTTCAATATTTTCCTTCTTTGGGTTTCCTTGAATTTTTTGGATTTGTTTTGAGTTATTTATTTCATATTTTGTAGTTTATTTATTTATTTTGTGTCATAACAAAATGGAATTCTTGGATGACTAATTTCATTAGACTTGTGAAAAGTACAACTTGAATAAAAAATAAAAATAAAAAATCCTAGGAAAGCTGTTGGGTCAGATCTTACTTGGGTCTGATTGATATTTTCCCTCTCTCTAGCAGGTTAGTAATTTTTTAAAAATTTTATGTATTTCTGAAAAGTACTTATAATTATGCTCATATTTATATATTTTTAATGCGTTGAAAAGTTATGGAAATGTATATTGCAAATGGGCTGCCATTTTCTTTTCTGATTTATGGGTATTAATTGGATTTAACATTTTCCAAACAGGAGTAGAATGCTAGAAGATTCTGTTGTGAGGTTTTGATAGGGATGGTCAGTTCTACTTGTGTATATTGATCTGCATTGGGGGACTAAATAGAATAATACTCTATACAAAATAAATAGATTGAGAAATAAATGCATTGGATGCAATGTCAAGGACATTAGCAGTCGAGCTGTTGATTCTATTGTACTTGATTTCCATATCGTCAGCTGAAAATGGATTCCCTCGATGTAACTGTGATGAGGAGGGATTTTGGAGCGTCGATAGCATTCTCGAATGCCAAAAAGTGAGCGATTTCTTAATTGCAGTGGCCTACTTTTCGATCCCGATTGAGCTACTTTACTTTGTTAGCTGTTCGAATGTTCCATTCAAATGGGTGCTCTTTCAATTCATCTCCTTCATTGTTCTGTGTGGCATGACTCATTTGCTCAATGGCTGGACTTATGGGCCTCACCCATTTCAGCTAATGCTTGCTCTCACTATTTTCAAATTCCTCACTGCTCTTGTTTCATTCGCCACTGCTATTACTCTCATCACCCTCATTCCTTTGCTGCTCAAAGTCAAAGTGAGGGAATTTATGTTGAAGAAAAAGACTTGGGATCTTGGTCGAGAGGTTGGAATTATAAAGAAGCAGAAAGAAGCTGGCTGGCATGTTCGGATGCTGACTCAAGAAATCCGCAAATCACTTGATCGGCATACAATATTGTATACAACTTTGGTTGAACTATCACAGACATTGGATTTACATAATTGTGCTGTCTGGATGCCCAATGAGGATAAAATCGAAATGAAACTGACTCATGAATTGAAAGAAAGGAACTTCTCAACTTTTTATAGGACACCTATCCCAATCAACGACCCTGATGTACAAGAGATAAAGAAGAGTGATGGAGTCAAGATACTTGACCCCAAGTCAGCCCTTGCTGTTGCAAGCAGTGGTGGAACTGCTGAACCAGGAGCTGTGGCTGCAATTAGGATGCCAATGCTTAGGGTTTGTAATTTCAAAGGTGGGACTCCTGAAATTGTTCGGGCATGTTACACCATTCTTGTTTTGGTTCTTCCTGATGGACAGGGTAGATCTTGGAGTAACCAGGAACTTGAGATAGTAAAGGTAGTTGCTGATCAGGTAGCTGTGGCTCTTTCTCATGCTGCTGTTCTTGAAGAATCTCAGCTTATGAGAGAGAAATTAGTCGAACAAAATCGAGCACTGCAACAAGCAAAACAGGATGCATTGATGGCGAGTCAAGCACGGAGTTCATTTCAGATGGTAATGAGCAACGGATTGAGAAAGCCAATGCACTCCATTCTAGGTCTGTTATCCATTCTGCAGGACGAGGAGAATTTAAGTGATGAGCAGCTGCTTCTAGTCGATGCTATTGTTAAGACGAGCAATGTCGTGTCAACCCTAATAAATGATGTAATGGATTCTTCGACAAAGGATAACCAAAGGTTCCCTTTGGAGATGAGTTCTTTTCAGCTACATCGTATGGTAAAACAAGCTGCTTGCCTTGCTAAGTGCCTTTGCGTTTACAGGGGTTATAATTTTGTCATTGAGGTTGATAAATCTTTGCCTAACCATGTCGAGGGTGATGAGAGAAGAGTATTTCAGGTTATTTTGCATATGGTTGGAAATCTATTGAATGGAAGCAAAGAAGGGGGCTGTCTTACATTACGAGTGTATTTAGCCAGTCAAAGTCAGGGATGGAATGATCAAAGATGGGGTCACTGGGGATCAAACTCGTCCAATGGATATGCTTTTATCAAGCTTGAAGTTGGTATTTGCCATACTGGTTCTCCTGCTGAGAGTTTGCTTCCTGCAAATCTGTATGGTAGTCAGAGGTACTCTGGTGGAATTGGGGAAGGCTTGAGCTTCAGCATGTGCAGAAAACTGGTTCAGGTATGTATTGGAATCTGTTATATTTGATTCATCAATGATAGACGAATTTGATAGAGCCAGGTTTCCATATGAAACATGCATAGTAATTAATGATCTCCAACGTCCCTTTTTCCCTTTTTTCCATGCAAACATTAGACTCGCATCTTTTCAGGAATTCTTCTCGATGCCATTGATTGGTGACTGCAGGCAACATGTTGAAGCCTCTCCCTTGTGATGCCAATTGGATGAATTTTGTTTTTGTTTTCAATTGCTAAAATTCAATTTGTGTTTGACGCGTGACATGCAATTATTCTCATCCAGTAATGGCTCTTTCTTGCGGCTTACTTTATTAATTTTATCGTTGGGATCTCGTCTTCAGTAGAAAGTTGTCTCTCGTTGTTCCAATCTCAATTCAACCCTTTCAAATATTGACTTTTATATTACTATGTGCAGTTAATGCAAGGAGACATCTGGGTGATACCAAATCCAGAGGGTTTTGATCAAAGCATGGCACTTGTTCTGAGGTTTCAAATTCGATCATCCATTGTAACTGGCATTTCAGAACATGGGGGATCTTCAGATCATGCACATTCAAACTCTCTTTTAAGTGGCCTCAAAGTTATGTTAGCTGATGGTGATGACATGAACCGAGCTGTGACGCGCAAGTTGCTTGAGAAGCTAGGATGCATCGTCTCTGCCGTGTCATCTGGATATGGATGCCTCAGCGCTCTTGGACCTGCAGTAACTAAATATCAAATTGTTCTTTTGGATCTTCAAATGCCTGATTTGGATGGCTTTGAAGTAACCATGAAAATTCGGAAGTTTCGAAGCCACAGCTGGCCATTGATCATTGCCTTAACTGCAAGTGATGATGAAGATACGAGAGAAAGGTGCATACAAATAGGAATGAATGGCATTATTCAAAAACCAGGTTCCTTACGGGGGATTGCTGGTGAGATTAAAAGAGTCCTTCTGCAGGCAAATAAAATTTTGTCATGATGGTAGTTTGCGATACTGTGGATAACTATGGTGTCAGTTCGCTTGGGAACATAAATGTTGACTTGTTAGAATTAAAAAAGAGAATTACTTTTCTTTATAAATGCTCTCCACCAAGTATTTAGCATAGAAATGTTACTTGCACAACAGTGATAGTCAAAATGGTAATAGAAAAATTCAACCTCCTCTTTCTTATCTTTACGCATGTACTTGGGAGCTGTTTCATGTTTCTCATGAAAATTAGTCCATGTGATGAGCAACAAGTTATGTGAAAAGTACTATTACTCTAATAGTCTTTCTCCTTTTCTTTTTCTCTAACTGTTTTTGGTTCAACAACAAAATATATAAATTGGGAAGTCGATTTTTCAACCTGAAAGTTTATAGCAGTAAAGAGGTCAAAATAACATGATGGGAGTTCCAGTTTTCTAGTCCAAGATTTTCTGACATGAGTTTTTGGATTACAGATGCAAATTTGACTAAATTCAGTGTCAAAACCTGCTTGATTCTCTGGCATTTCTTATTTTTACGCATCTATACATCAGTTCAAGACATTCACACTGATCTCTTTCTGAAATTGGACTAAGTATGTTCTGTCACAATTCATATTTCACGATACTTCTTGCTAATGAATCCCTATTTTAATAACAATTGTGTTTGAAGCCAGCTATTTCTATTATAGTATTATAGGAAATCATTGATTTTCTCCCATTTTGGTGTTCCTTATGTTGTTAATGTCATTACTTGGCCATTGCATAAGTTGGTTTCTTGATAAGTTTCGTAAAGGAGTGCTCGACCCTTGTCTATGCAAGCCAGTTAAATTTGACTTGCTTAAGTCACGTTGATAGTTCTCTGTGCTTCACTAGCATGGTTCTGTTTCTAGAATGTCTGTCTTTAATTGCTTATTGAGACAGATCGACTGAAGCATTTGATGAGATTAACAGGTTAATATGAGATTAAGCTCCACAGCCCAAGTAATCATGAAGACAAAAAACGCATGCACCTCAAATTTGTATGTGCAAGGTACTGAAAACTCGAGTGACTATACTTTGGTATCATTCTCCTTTATATTCATGCAATGTGTTTCTGATCTTATATATCCCATATTCTAGCAGCCGTACACGCTCAAGTGTGTGTTCGTGTGTGTGTTCCACTCGATTAGGGTCAACCTGCAACGTGTTTCTGATCTGATATTTTCTGGTATTCTAGCAGTCGCAAGCCGTACACACTCAAGTGTGTGTGTGTGTGTTCAACTCAATTCTGATCAACCTTATCGCTGTCCATGGCATCGTTATTCTTTATTTCTGTGCAACACGCTTCTTTTCTGCTATTATCCCACATTCTGTAACCCACAAGTTCGTGTGCATTCGACTCTACTATGGTCAAATCAACCATGTTCCGGAACCTAGCTACTTGCATGTGAATTGCATGCGCGTCCCGGTGGGAGGTATATGCTCTTTGTTGTGTTTAGGAAGTGCAAATGATACATGGAGCGTATGGGTGAAGAGATCAGCATGTGTGTGACTGAACAAATTGACAAAATGCAAAACCATGCATGAATATGATGATTAGAGTGCGTATGTAGACACTTGCTATCATTTTCCATCTTTATATTATATCCCACTTGGGTTCCATCTGTTGTGCCCACATGCCCCATCCACTAGGTTTCTTCTGATATTTTTATGGGATAATTTTTGTGTATACATCAAATTTTATTAGCTATACTGAGCGTGACAGAATCCAGGAGTACAACGTACAAGATTTTAGTTTTTATTTTTTATTCTTTCCCTTTGATGTTATCAAGTACTACCCAGGGCATCACGAGTCAAAGCATACATGTTTTATTTATATTACTTGGGTTCCGTCTCTTATGCCCTCATGCACAATCCATTAGGTTTCTTTCCATATTATATGGGATAGTTTTGTATATTCATCGAGCTGTATTAGCATGTCTAGTATACAGTATCACGCAAGGTAAGGCAAGACTGTTCGGTATAAGCGTACAAGATTTTAACTCTCTTTTTAATATTATCCAATATTGTCAAGTGCACTAACAAAAAATGTTGTGTTTAATATTTTTTGTTGTATTTGTCAAATAAGCGTGCAAGAGCATAATGCTTACTTGTCGATTCGACAGAAAATGTACATATTGGAGAAGAATTGAATTTTCTCATTTCATGTAACTTCAAAGATAAAGTTTGATTGATATTCCATTGCTCATGAACATTGAATATTCTAAGTTTATATCATTATTATACATGGAGGAATTTTGATGTAACGTAGGCCACTTCTGTACAGTGTTTCTTGTCAAGTAAGGGTTGCATTAGTATCGCCATCCTATTGACTTTCGGCTTATCTAAAATCATTTAGTGTGACTGGATTGGTGAATTCTTTGTCAAACATAATTGATGGGTGGGTTTTAATTAATTAAATTTGAATAGATATTTTAAGAATTTCAACTTTGAAGGTAATTATGTAGGGGTTATATTCAAACCCACATTTCTTTATAATTATATCATATTTTAATTGCATTACAAGTTTTATATTAATTAGCAAATTTTGTGTTTAACGACGATTTTCGTTCAAAAATTTTGCTAACGTGTTTTCAAACTAGAGATAAATATTTAGCCTTTGTTTGGCAACTTTATAAATAGTTTAATAAAAGAAATAGCAGTGAGTTTTAAAAAATGTGTGGATATAAATAAGTAATAGTTATGAATGAGTAATTGAAATTAATATTTGATTTTGATTAAATTTATAAACTATTTATAAATTGGTTGTCAAATAGAATTATTATTTTTTTATTTTTTGCTTATTAATAAATATGAAAGGCAAATAAATTTTAATTCTCTTCTAAAACTTTTTTGGACCAAAATCAATAAAGATGATGAAATTAATAGAAGATTGATAATAATTTTAAAAAAAAAAGATGAAAAAGTTGGGGAGATTAATGTGAGAATAAATAAAAGTTATAGAACTTTACACAATTAAAATGTAATTTACTTATTGAAAAAGTGTTTTGTAAATAGAGTCTATTTATATTTACACCATAATTTTTGTTAACTAGATCACTTTTAATTACAATAAAGGTTCCAATCTTTACTGATTCTTGAAATTATATCCTCAACTTTTTCATCGCAATGTTATTATTAACCTTTCATAAATTAACCTATCTTGTTCTTGATGATAGTTTTATCCATAAAAATTATTAGGAACATGCACGTTGGCACGGACACTACACGAATCTAATTTGAAGGTATAGAAATGAGGCGAACCGTCTAAGATTGATATCCATGCATGCTTCTTATTCGTATATACTCGATGATTTGTAGACGTACAATTGAGAAATCAAATGGCTTACTTTGTAAATATAATTATCACGTCGAACATTGATATTATTGGATTTGAAAAGATAATATTTGCTATAGAATACAGATAGAAATTGATTCCTCTGGATCAATCGATAAATATATACACACACACATGACAATCCACTAACTTTTGCACCAAGGGATCTGTATGCAATAATTAAACAAACATTGCAATCTTCTCATACTTTAAACTAAACCAAGTTGACAGGAAAAGATATTGATATATACTTGGAATCCAGACCACATTTTATATAATTTTTCAACTTTTTGCCTGGAGAAAAAGACAAAAGGGTTCTGCATTTGGCTTTATTAGTAGATTAATTATTTATAGCCTTGAAAAAAGCCTGGTGGAATTTGAAAACTGGAAAGAATTGTATGCAATTTGATATAATAAAATGAAACTTCCATCATATGAAAATTGAAAACAAAAGTGTAAGTAAGGTTTTTTTATTATTATTTCTTTTTCGAGTTACTTAAGAAACAATCGAGAAAGTTTTAGTATGTAACAAATCATAATATTCACGTGGATCATTTATACATAACTTTACTACTAGATAATTGTGCAAAAAATGACGTATTTGACAAGATATAATGAACGAAACTAAACAATATTAATATAGAAAAGACTAAAAATCACGTTTATTGATTATAGTTTTAATTTTTTTTCTTATTTAATTTAATATTGTGAAATTCATGTAATTAAATATGACGTAATGTCATATCCTTACCATATTATTTGTTTTGGTACAACTTTATAATTATTTAAGCAAAATGGAAAGGTTGCACACATTTCAATGTACTCTGGCATTTATAATAAAGTTAATTTTGCTTATTTGGGGGAAGTTGGATTCTGCTGTCTTTGATAAACATTGTCAAGTGTGCCAACAACTTTTAAATTACTTATACTTAATTCAATCAATCAAGAATGATTATTTTTCTCAATTTAGTAAACAATCTTATTGACTTGCATCAATCGTGACCAAGATCTAGCCCATAGATCTCATGCTATATTAAATTAGGATTATTCTTCTTATACATTGAGGTGTACATAAGGGTGTCCATAATGGACACCCGACACCCCCTATTGGATGGAGTGCCGGCTCCACTGGTATTCCATCCAATAAGGAGATGCCAGATATCTATTATGGACACACTACAATAAAATGTACTTTTTACGGAAAAAATTTTAGCCATGCCGTAAAAAGTGGGATACTTTTTACAGTATGCAGAGTACTCCTTCAATGCACGCCGTAAATAAGTTTTACGGCATTCAATTGTATGCCGTAAAAAGTGGCATTCACATTTACGGCATGCATTGCATGCTGTAAAAGGTAAACCAGTATTTATGGCATACATTAATGGTATGCCGTAAAAGGTGAACTAACATTTACGGCATGCCATCAATGTATGCCGTAAAAGGTGAACTAGTATTTATGGCATACATTGATGGCATGCCGTAAAAGGTGAACCCTTTTTACGGCATGCATTCACTGCATGTCGTAAATTGTTTTGTAATTTACGGCATGCTTATGCATGCCGTAAATATCAATTTAATTTTTAAAAAAATTATTTATTTATTTGATTACCAGCACACCTATAATAATAACAAAACAAAATTAAATCCATAAATAATCA